GTTTATTGCGCTCCGTCGGAGGGCACGGGGGGCTTTGAGAGTCGGAGGGGCTGGTCAGGCCCACCTATTTTTTAACGTTGCAGCGAACATTCTCATGGGGCCAGACATGTCGAAGGTCATTGAGGATCAACCTGCCGCGAAGATGATCGCGCTGTCGGCTCGGATGCTCTTGGAAGGTAAATTCGGAATTGAAGCTTGGACTAAGAGCCTGGTGGAGTTTATCCGCGGCACTTCGTGGGTCCTCAGAGCCACGCTGGACGCAGATCGAAATGAGTTTATGGAGGGTCTTGGCGGCAAGCTCGGGAGATCCATCTGGGCGGGGAATAACAGGGAAGGCTGGGCTGTGTTGCACGCCCTTAGGAGTCTCGGCGGGGGTGGGGGCAAAAAGAACAAGGCCCTCAACGGTGCCTTCCCCCCTAGAACCGACTCAATTGGGAATGTTCTGGCTACGAGGCAGGACGTAGCAAGGGATGTTGCGACGCACTTTAGCGAGCTCGAATGCGCCGAACGGATCTCGCAGCAGGATTACATCGAGAAATACGGTTCAGGCATGCCCAACGCGAAGCATGGTAAGGTTGACCCAGCCCACGTCATCGCCCCAAGAGAGACTGAGCTAATTTTGAGCAGACTTGACGCCGGCAAGGCGGCTGGACCCGACAGGATTTTCAACGAAGTGCTGCGATGCGCCCCCCCCAGGAGATGGCGAGACACATTCGCCCGATCCAGGTGAAAGCTACCTTGCACGCGCGCGAGCCTGCTGCATTTAAAGGAGGGGTTGCGTTTGACCTTTACAATCTGAAGGGCAAGCCCTCGCTGACAGCCAGTTACAGACAGCTCTTGCTCATGAACACTATGGCGAAATGCCATCGTGCGTTTCTCCGAACCAGACTGTCTACGGTTGTTGCATACATTTTTTCAGGACCTCGCAATGCGGAGGCACGCAAGAACGAGGGACCGACATGGCCTCACACATGGTTCGTGCGGTGATGGAGTTGGCCAGGGCCCAGACGCCCAATTTTTGGTTGGTCGTTTTTACTGACCTGGGGGCCGTTTTTTATAGTGGTTCGGGAGTTGGTCTTGGGGGGACTCGTCAGACATGAAGAATGGGAAGATATCATTGATTCAATTGGGACCCCTATTATCTTGCAGCCGATCATGGACAAACTCACCAACGAGCCAGGAATGTTAGGAAACTATGTGAAGGACCCCCGTTTGATTTCTGTTCTCCAGGACGTCCACCAGGACACATGGTTCACGGTCCGTGGGGATGACAAAATCGCCAGGACCCTCGTGGGAACCCGCCCTGGTAGCAACATGGGGGACGTGGTTTTCAACGTATCTTTCGGGCCGATACTTGATGAATGTCACCACAAGATGAAGAGAGCCCAGCTTGCCATCGAGTTGCCCGAAGCTGTCGGACCTTTTTCAGGCGAGCAAGGCAGAGACCACATCCTACTCTCAGACGCAACAGATGCTGACGAGTAAACTGCGCTTGCCTTTCAGAAAGACAACGAGCCCCTCCGCCCTGCCGCGTGCCGTCTGCGCGCCTTTCTGCATGGGGTCACAGCATCAAGAGGGATGCGGCTCAATGGCGGACGAGGCAACACAGGGCTCTTTGTAGGTATAGATGGTGAAAGTAGTAAATGTGCCCAGCAAGAGTGGTTCGCGAACGGGGGTGGTTATTTGAAGATTGGCTCTTACGAGGCTTCGGTTGGGAGATGTAGCATGCACGAGCATTTAGGAAGCGTGCTCCACGTAGGAGGCCTACTCGGCCCCGAATAACAAGCACGAGCAGCGTCACAGAACGAGGGCCTGGGACCGCTATAAAGATCGGTGTTCAGGATGCGTGGAGTAGAAACAGAGACGAAGCTGAAGTTTTGTTACCCCTTGTGCACCACCAAGCTGTTGTTCCATGGGTGCGTTTGGGGACCGATGGGGGCCAAGGACGCCGAGAAACTCAGGATGGAATTTTTGCAACCATATCGAGAAGCCACTGGCGAGGCAGCCTGGAGGGCTAACCACGATGGTGCGCGCAGGCGCACGGACGACGTGCTGGTGGAGGCACAGCAATTTGACGTTGAGTTTGTGCTGCGCATTCCTCGCCTCCGATATGGGTCGCGCGTGCTTGCTAAGCCCCCCTGAACTGAGAATCCTCTTGGATGCCCTGTGGGAGTTCGAAGATGGTTGGTGCGCTATGTTGCGTAGTGACCTGGGGTGGCTGGGGGCTCATGTAAGACCCGATGCAGGCAATGCTGGGGTCTCATTCGGGAGTTGGTTCGGGATCGCCCGCGATACCCCCAACTAATGGGCCTGCATGGTCCGAAAGGCTGTCGCCATCTACACTCACTGGAGTAGGGACCAATTAAGGCTTTCTCGGTGGAGGAGGACAATTTACGACGTATGCGTTGCGAGTGGCATTGAGCCTCCACCCACCGTGCCGACCCCCCCCCCAGGAGTTTGGGTATCCGTGCCAGGACTGTGGGGCTGTTTTGGGATCAAAAGGCAGTTGGCGACTCCATCGAATGAGGGATCACCCAGAGCAAGATCCTGCCGCCAGGCTTGCTAGGGGAGGGACGTGCCATGCCTGTCTACAGTGCTTCACCACTCGTGCGCGTCTGCTCAAGCACTTGAGAAGGTGAAGCAGATGGTGCCTGGCGGGCTGGGTTTCTCATGCTCCACCGATGGAAGCTGACGAGAGGGAAAAAGAGCTGTGTGAGGAGCAAGCCGAGACTCAGTGTCTCAAGGCTAAAGGCCTCTACTATGCCAAAGCTGAGGTGCCAGTTTACCCAGTCTACGGGCCAGCGTTCCCACCTCCCTCGCCCGAGATGATTGCTCAATACGCAGTGCCAGAGCAGTTCCCAGAGCCAGTCTCATTGCAAGCTGTGCAGTTTTTTGGCGTTGCGCCAATCCCCCTGCCAGTTTCAAGCAACGACATCAAGCACGTAGTGCATCCCTTCAGCGGCCAGAGAAGCCAAGGGGATTTGCATAGCCACTTTGAAAGATTCACCGGGCAGTCGAAGGCAGCGGTATGGATGTTGTCGGTCGACGTCGTGTACGACAGGGCCTTGGGGGATTTGAGGAATACCGCTGCCATCGACAAGTTAGTAGACCTCTGCTACGCTGGCAGAGCGATAGCTGTGATCGCAGGCCCCTCATGCGAGACTTTGAGGTCGGCCCGAGCCAACCGTTTAAATAACGAAGACGGGGGCCGCGACAGCTGCGCTCAATTTCCTCGCCGTGGGGCATACCACAGCTAAGAGGAAAAGTGTGGGCCCAACTGGAATGTGCTAGTGTTCCGTACCGAACCTCTACCCTGTTTGCATATGTGGCTGCAGCGACAGGCATGGCAGCAGTGATCGAGCATCGTGCACCACCGACTGGTCAGTTCCTTCCATCCTCCTGGCACTTGAAGGAGACTTCACACTTGATAATATTGCAGCACCCAGGTGTAGTGACAGAACTCGTCTGGGTGGACCAGTGTGAGTTTGGAGCTGAGTATGTGAAGCCAACGTGTCTTTTGGTTGTGAATATGCCGACCTTGGGCAGTCATGTTCGGCAGATTCCTAGGCAAGGCAGGTGCACACACCCACCAGGCAGCCACATAATGTCGAGCGGACGGTTCCAAGAAGGCACGTCCAAAATTGTTTCTGCAAAACAGTATCCAGACAGGCTGTGTGATTGCATTGCTTCACACGTGCATCAGTTTTATGTTTACGCAGGGACTCTGGTGGATCCACACAGAGGGCCGCAGGATATCGAGGAGGATGTAGCTAGGTTTTCTCCCCCCTGGACGCATACAATGTTGCGCACTCCTGGGGGGGGGGAATCTTGCCAGAGTTCAAGGAGGAGGCTGCCGTAACAGGTGTTTGGTTTCGTGTCATGGGGTCGGGTCTGGTTGGGGCGGGACTCGCATCAGGCCGCCCTCATCCGACTCCCTCGGTGCGCGCGCCTCCGCCAAGTGCGCAGGAAGGCCGGGCGCGCACCCGAGGAGGCAGGGCAAGGAGGCACCGCGGCCCTCATCGAGGAGGCCCGCCCTGCGCCCGCAACCTCCACGAGGAGGTGCGGCCTTGCTTGCCGCCGCCGCTGCGCGCCACCGCTCGATCGCTCGATCGATAATTCGCAAAGTAAACTGCCGCCTGCGAGTTCGACGCACGATGGCCGAAACGGTAGAAACTGTAGGAGGAGGAGGAGGGGGAGGAGGAGGGGGAGGAGGAGGAGGAGGAGGAGGAGGAGGAGGAGGAGGAGGAGGAGGAGGAGGAGGAGGAGGGAGGAGGAGGACGGGGAGGAGGAGGAGGAGGAGGAGGGAGGAGGAGGAGGAGGAGGGAGGAGGAGGAGGAGGAGGAGGAGGAGGAGGAGGAGGAGGAGGACACGACTGGAGGAGGCGGAAGGCGGAAGAGAAGGAAGCGTCCGATGGGGCACGGATCTGGAAGGGGCACCTGTGCCACCAGCGACCCCCCCCCACATCCCGCACGCTGCCAGTGCTCGAGGCGACTTCTCTGGCGAGGTAGCCCTGCCGAAAGGAGCTGGGGCCCAGATGGACTGCCCGTGTGCGGGATGCTCTGTGCGCGGCGGGGCGCTCGAGACAGTCTGGGCGGGCAGGGCAACGGAGCCTCCGGAGAGGCGGAGAGGGGTGCCCCCACTTGAGTGTTAGCAGAGCAGCTGTCTGCAGCTCCGTCGACGACGCGGCACCGGTGCCCCTCTTGCAGAGGGCACCGCTGACGCCGCGTGTGCAACGTTGGCTCGCTTGGCCAAAAGGCCATGTACCAACGCCACGCTGCAAGCGGGCAGACTATCAACCTCAGAAGAAATAGCGTTTGGCTTGCACGATGGTGGCGTCTGACAAATGGCGTAGCCTCCAAACGGATACCACATCAAGACATGACGCACCACATCGTATCGTGACGTACCGTGCTGTGGCCGATCTCATCGCATCATACCATGACATACCAACTAAACATTGCACGTTCGTTATTCTGATGCTTCTCCTCCTGGCAGCCGGCCTCCGCAGTCGTAGTGTGGTTGACGCTTGCCTCGGGGCCGTGACCGACCGAACTGGGTAAGAGCCACTGCCATGCAATGCGCTCGCCGCACTCCCTCCGCCCTCCCGCTGGTAGGGGGAGGAGGAGGAGAGGAAGGAGGAGGGGGAGGGGGAGGAGGAGGAGGAGGAGGAGGAGGAGGAGGAGGAGGAGAAGGAGAAAAAGGAGGAGAAGAAAGGGGGTGGGGAACAAGGGGTAGGAGCAGGTTAACGAAGCAGAGGGAGGTGGAGCAGGGGGGGTGGAGGGAGGAAGAACGGGAGGCAGGCCGTTCATCCTTGCGCACTGGCCACGCCAGCCATTCTCTATGCGGTCCCTGCTTCACAAGCGAAAGGCGGAGTGCCGACCTCCGTTTCCTCGTCCTGGTTACCTTCCCCGGCTCGTTCTCCCGATTCTGTCTTTGTCTTCCTCCCTGCTTGCATGGGTCCTTTTCTCCGTGCTCCTCCTCCTCCTCCTCGACTTCGTGCTCTTCCTCCACCTCCTCCTGCTCCTCTTTATCTTCATCGTTCTCCTCTTGCTGCTGCTACTGCCCCTCACTGTCCTCAATACCTTCGCCCTTACCATCGTAGTCGCTCTGTTCCTCACCACCTTCATCGTCGTAATTCTTACCCTCCCCCCCGACCTCATTATTTTCCACACATCGCGAGGGACCCATATCTATGTCTTCGTCCTCACCCATATCTATTTCTTCGTCTTCCCCCTTCTCCTGATCCGTTCCCACTCAACACGATCGATCGATCGTCATCCCCGTCCTTTCCGGTGGTCCATTGAGGTCTCTGGAGGCAGCAACACATAACACGTACCAACACCTTGATCCTCGATAATTTCCCTCATCGTTTCGCACTCGACGTGATCCACTCAACCAGACGGCGGGGCCCGAGGACACTTGGGAGTTCACCCCAGGCAGCCGACCAAGCAAGCCAGCGGTGAACATCGAGGATTCGGACAATGACGTGCAGGCCAAGTACTGGGAGCAGACCAGCCACCACTGCGGGGGGGCAGGCATGGAACACGGCATCGACAACCGCTCCTACTGGCGCCTGCTGAACTAACTGGAGACAGTGAACACTTGCTCGCCATCGCTCGGACGTCCCTTCCCTGTGCATTTTTCGGTTTCGTGCGTGTTTTGTTGGTCGAGGATGCTTCTCGATGGCCCCAGCCGAGGAAAAATGCACACGTCCGAGCGATGCCAAGCTACTGGCGCCTGCTGAAATGACTGGAGACAGTGAACACTTGCCTTCGCCCTGCGGTGCCAGTGCTGACGGTGACACTGGGCGCAGCGTGGCCGGCGGCGCGCGCAGGGGCCGACGCCAGCGCGGACACCGACGGCATGTGCTTGCGATGTGGCGACTACGAGGCGACAGCCTTCCGTCGCGACTTGGACCTGCGCTTGCTGGAAGCCCAACCCCCTCTGCGACAGCACCGACGGCTTTACCAGCGAGGCCATCGCCCAGCAGGACATGCACGAGCGCTTCTGGGTGTGGGACCTTGTCCCGAGGACCTGGACGTGGGCACCACCTCCGGCCCAGGCCTGCGAGATCACCGCGTTCGGCACCGACAGCTTCGCCGAGGGCTGCTTGTGAGCTGGTCGTGGCGAGCAGGCAACTTATGCTTCTTGTAATGCCAGCGGCGGCCCCGACGCGGCCCGGCCCACGCGGCGGCAGCTCGGAGTCGCCGTCGCCGTGTTCCACGACCTGGACCAAAACGGGATGGCCATGTAGCATGCCGCCTGGGGTCTACTCCCAGGCAACCGCCAGTCACTGGTCCGAGGGGCGCTCTTGCAGGCTGCTGCTGGCGCCGCTCCAGACTAGCCGCCACGGCCTTCTCTACCCGTCGGTCGGAAGAAGTGGGTAGAAACATTAAGTGGAAAGGCGTTGGAAGAAGGCTGGGCTTCCGCCCGCTCCCTGAAGAGGAGGGAAGAGGGAAACTCGGTCGACACTTGAAGTAGGAAGGCGCTTGAAGTACTGGGATCTGGGAATCACAAAAATACCGACCGCCAACGACCGATGGGTGCACCACGCATCGCGAAGGAGTGCGCCCCGACGGCTGCGACGGCCGTACCTGGCTGAGCCCCGAGGGGTCCAGACGCCGACCTGTGGCACCGAGTCGGGCAGCAAGTCCACCAGCGGATCGGCGACGTGGCCGCCGTGTGCGTGCCATCCCACATGACCGGGGAGGTCACCAAAAAGTACCGATACCGCTGCTCCCCGGGCCTCTCCCGGGGCGCGTTCTGACCAGGACTTCGAGGCGAATCCGATGGTGGCGAGGGGGGCCTCCGAGGAGGCCCAAACAGGGGGAAACGAGGAAAGGGTAGCGGTACAGTCGGGGCGTTGACCTAAGGAACCCTAAATAAGGAACGAAGCCCCTTTTTTTTCCATAAGTTAAACTTCGGTTTCCTATCGGACGCATAAGGAAAACCTGAGGCAAGCTGTGAAAGGAACGCGGAGCCCCTCCCCAACGAAAAGGGTTCCTTCTTCAGGGCCCCGACTGTATGGGTACCTTGTTTCCTCCTCCGAATGACAGCAGAGGACCCCGTACGCGGGCGCACCCCACGGCAGCTGGCGAGCGGCAACGCCGTGGCCGACGTGCTGGCCGCCGCCGCCGCCGAGGGAGCACCGTGCATCGACCACCCTGTCGCCAACACGTTTCCCTTTTTTTTTCGGTTCTGGTGAGATCTCAAGAGGCCCGCGGGTTCCCAAGGCCTCGGGCAGTGAAGTGCCAAGACACGCCAGACGACAAGCAATGGCTGCGGCGGCACCTGTGGACAAACCTACAGGGTCAACGCCAGCACGTTCGCCCCTGTCGAGAACAAAGCACATGCGCGCGGGCCTAGATTCTCGACGTCGGCGCTGTTGGCGCTGTTCGCAGGGGCACGAGAGCAAGGAAATCACGAGGGCTTTGGGCCCCCACGGGGTCCTGGAGCTGTCCGAGATCGGCGTGCTCCCCTATGTGATGTTGCACTCGACCGAGATTTCGACCAGCGCACATCTGTGGTACGCATGCGGGTGCTGCCTGCCACAGTCGAGGCTCTTGATTTGGCGCGAGAAAGACCATGATGCAACTGCAGGCAGGCAGGCGGAGAGAGCGTACGCCCAGGCCCCTGCTCAGCCCCCCATGCTCCTGCGATCGGTGCCGCCTCTTCCTCGTCTCGCGCCCTCGGCGATTCTGAGCGCCGATGTCTCAGGTGTCGCAGCTCAGCCTCCAAAGCTAAGAGTGCTGGGTGGATGCAGACTGGTTGTTATGACTTTGCAGATATTGATGACACGCGCGCGCGAGACTCTCAACCAGGAAGCAGGCACATGTAGCAGGGGGGTAGGCTCATGGAGTCCATCATGTAAGGTTCCCTGGAGGGCGGGGGGTCTGCTTCAGTGCTCGATGCGAACTCCACGCTTCCCAGCACATCGAGAAGCTGGCGGAACCTTGCCTCCGAATGCCACCGGACGTGAACCTGTAAGGAGAAGCGGCCTGTCACTCTGGCCCGACCTTCCCAGCCAGGCGGAGCGAGCCCAGAGGAAGAGCCTCCCCACGCAGGAGACAGGTGCTGCCATCTTGTCCGCCCTCGCCCGACGCCCCCTTCTCCCCCCTTCTCCTCCTCCTCCTCCTCCTCCTCCTCCTCCTCCTCCTCCTCCTCCTCCTCCTCCTCCTCCTCCCCTCCCCCCTCCTTCCTCGGACCCCCCCCTCCGAGGCCGACGACGAGGCCCCCGCGCAGCGCCGCCGCCCCCCACCCCCAGGCCCCGCCCGAGCGAGGCGCCTCCTGGCCAGAGCTCCGAACCGGACCCTGCCGTGTCCACGAGGGGGCGCCCCGGGAGACCCTTTGCTTGCGTGACAGTCGAGCCCGGACCAACAAAAGAACAAGTCTGCCCATGCCGGACACACATTGACGAGTCTTTGTCTGGTCAGTTCTGCGCCACGTCTACGTTGCAGAGCGGGGGGGGGCTGGGAAGGGGCACGCAGCTCTTTGACAAACGCCTTGCCCCGCTTTGTGGCCGCCGGGATCGCCGCGGCGACCTCCCAAACCGCCCCGGAGGTTTGGTTCGGGGTCGGACATAACGACGCAGCGAATCTTCGACCCGCCCCTTTCCTCGTCCAGGGAAGGCGCCCTGCACCCTCCCGCAGGAGGGCCCAGACTCGAGTCCACAGTTCGGGTAGGCGATCGAAGTGCATCGGATCGGCGGGAAATCGGCAGCCGAGTCGGGAGAAGTCGAACCGGCGGACGTCGAGAAGCCAATCGACCCGCCCCTTGAGAGAGCGAGACCCAGGCTGGAATCCGAGATGGAATCGGATCGGAGTGGAATCCGAACTGGAGCCGCATCGGGTCGGAGGAGTCGACATGAGCCCCCCCCCCGCGGGAGTGGCCGTCTCCGTCGCCCGCGATGCGTGCTCCGCGGCTGCGGTGGCACTCGCTCCGCCTCCTGGCGCGGGGCGCCACGCTTCCCCCCGCGCGGGCGCCCGCGACCGCGGGTCGTCAGCCTCGCGCGCCGCGGCAGCACCCGCTGGGACTGCTGGTGGGCCGGGTGCACCCCTTCCCTCCTTCGCTGGAGGGGCCCAGGGGCACCCCTAGATAAGGAGACACCACTCCCAGGAGTCCCCATAGTTTTCCCCGTCTTTGCGGGGTTTCCGTCTTCCCCCCGCTTCCCATATTTTCCCACGTGTTCCCTGGGAGTCGAGGATTCGCTGTGTCTGTGTGTGTGTGTGTGTGTGTTTCTTTCCCTCCTGATTCACGCGACTCTCGGGTCGGGCGAAAGGGGGGGATAGCAAAGGGGGGGTTTGAGAATCAGCTCGCGTAGCTGATTTTCCTGGCGCCTCCCGGCGCCGGAGGCGGCTATGTATCGAGGAATGGGCCCCTCGGCGGGGCCGAAACCAGCTGCATGCAGCAAATGTCGTAACCCCCCCTTTCCCAATCCCCCCCTTTCGCCCAGCCCGAGACTCGGGTGGATTTTCGCTACTTGGCGGCGAGCCCCGGGGGG